GCCGGTGATAAGTAACCGAACTGCTACCCCTCAGAATAGATGGGGCTTTGTGTTGGGAAAAAAAAAAAAGAAAAAAAAAAAAAAAAGAAAAGAAAGAAAGAGAAATGCACTCTAGTACGTTGCCAGTTACTGGGCTAAATTGTACGATAATACAAAAACGAAATTTAAAACATTTAAAATAACAACAATGCTCGCACATCTATTGAAGTCAAGTTAAAAAAAAAAAAAAAAAAAAAGAAGTCACGTTTTTGTTTTTTGAAACGGTATTCACCTGTTAGTAGTAGCGAATGCAGATCCCAGGGCTCGATCCCTAGTTCTTACCTTACCTGTGTACAGTACCTGTGTCGACCCCGCGAGTTGAACCCGTGACCTGTGTATTCGCACCGGTTGGTAGTCTGTCGTAGGTCCGTAGGTTGTAGGGGTTCGATCTGTAGACCTGTCGGGTAGAGGTCTTAGTGAGTTCTAGAAGTCGTGGCTGTAGTTATCCTGAAAGGTCAAGTTAGTAGCTGCTACAGTCCTGAAAGGTCAAGGTCGTAGCTGCTACAGTGTCGAAGGGCCAAGTCCACAGACTTCCGGAAGGTCCAGAAGTGGCCTTCCCAACGTTGCTCACAGCAGATTAGAGACAAGTGGGCAAGTGGTGAAGTCCACCCTTGCTGAGTCAGCGGTACCCAGTCCCAGTCTCACTGAGTCCAGTCAGCAAGTACCATGAGGGACTGTGTGCACCATGGGCCCGGTGGAAAGAGGCAGGCCAGTGACTTCCAGAAGTATAAATCAAGAGGCAGCGTCCAGCCATTCATTCATTCCTGCGTCAGCCATGCAGAAGCACCGTCTGAGCGACTTGTGCGAGGTGGTCTGCAGAGTGCCCGAAGACGAAGTGGGCTGAAGGAGATAGTTAGACATAGCTAGGAGAGGGACAGCGGCCATAGCCGCCATAGCTGATAGGCAAGTGTACGAGTACGACAGTGTGTGTATTCGTGTGGGATATCCAGGGTGATCCAGGGTTGAGTGAGTGCGAACAGAGGTGGATAGAGAGGGGAGAGTTGGAGTGTACAGGCGCTGATGCGCCATAGCCTATTGAAGCGAGCTGGTATCTGAACTGTGTTTTCGACTTCCATATCTCTGAGCTTTGAGTGGGTGAAGTGCGCTAGTGTGATTCACCATCTGTTTGCGTGAGTGCGGAGTGGAAAGGAAGCGAGTCTGATTTCATTTTTGTTTTTAATTTTTTTAATAGAAAAGAGAGGGAAAGGAAAAAGTTCCAAAAAACAAACGAATGGATCTGGCACCTGCTTTCTCTTCTGGCTGACTTATCTGTGGCACAGTTTCTCTCTCATCCTTTTTTTCCCTTTTTCCCCCTTTTTTTCCTTTTCTTAAACCACTGCTACACGCCACAGGCAAATCTTGTGGCTGTAAAAATATATCCTGCAAGTTTCTGAGGTCCAGGGCTACCGGACCACAATGGCCGGGGCCAGCTGCCGAAAACAAGAAAAAGGGTGCCCACACTGTTTCGTTTTTGTATTGGCGCGCTGCGTTTGGGAGGCTCGTAGAGAACAGCCTCGGATGTTGTGCTGGTCTAAAGGGCGAGGGCCTTGCGATATATCATTGTTGCTGAACGGCCCCAGGTAATTCAGAACTATGCAATTTCTTGCATCCAGCTTCACCTAGATTAAAAAAAAAAAAAAAAAAAAGCTTCACCTAGATTCGAACTCAGGTCTGTTTTTCAAGAGTTCATGGGTGTACCAACTGAGCTACGGTAGGCCCATTGGCCTCTTATCCTACTTTTGCTCATTGACCACAGACAGAGTCGGTGATATCGTGTCGTATGATGTCTGTGACTCTGTAGGCAGTGTAGGGTTTTCGCAAAAAGAAGAAAGAGTTAGTGTCAACTGCGAAGTCCGAGAATCACCAACATGGGGGAGAGAGACATTGTAAGACAACAGAAGACTCAACTCAGACATGGACTGACCTGACTATGCCACAAAATGACAACGCGGCACTGGCCTGAGCTCAATCGCAGTTGAGAGGGGTTGAAACATAGAAGAAACCTCCCCGCTATGACGATGAACAGATGAGGTATGAAATGAGATATGATATTATGCATTAGGACGAAGACGAAGACGAAGACGAAGACGAAGACGAAGACGAAGACGAAGACGAAGACAAAGAAGACGAAGACGAAGAAGACGAAGACGAAGACAAAGACGAAGACTACGCCCACGACGACGACGACGACGACGACGACGAAGAAGAAGAAGAAGAAGAAGAAGAAGAAGAAGAAGAAGAAGAAGAAGGAGGAGGAGGAGGAGGAGGAGGAGGACGAGGACGAGGACGAGGACGAGGAGGAGGAAAAGGAGAAGAAGAAGAAGAAGAAGAAGAAGAAGAAGAAGAACCAATTTATGGCAGCCTGAAATAATAGACTCTCCTGCTCCTCAACTCCAACTCATCTCCTCCAACACCTCTCCCCCAACTCGCCTCCCAATCTGTAAGTCCCAGATCTCAACTCCCGAAGTGATGCTCCCGATACATCAATTGTCATCTCTCTCTCTCTCTCTCTCTCTCTCTCTCTCTCTCTCTCTCTCTCTCTCTCTCTCTCTCTCTCTCTCTCTCTCTCTCTC